CCGTTTAACAAGATGATGTGGTCGTGTATGGGCGCTTTGACTCGTCGTAGTTTGCACAGGATTGAAGATTTAATATAACTATATAAGCGCGAATTCCAAAGGCAAAGTGTAAGACAAAACGAATGTATCATACCGTTTATTTACATTCTTGAACGATTTAACTTCTATACTTTTTAAAGTACGATGTGCTTCTGAATTTCGCGATCGAACATTTAGGTTCGCAAGGCATCTAAATGCGAATATGAACTGCAGTGGCGTAGCCAGCCCGAAAATTTAGTCATGCTATGCTAATTTTTTGGTGTAATTGACTGCGAAAACAATGAATTTCTAATGAAATGAATAATGTTAATAACATAAAATTTGCATAGCATGACTAAATCGTCAGGCTGGCTACGCCAACTGTATTGTTTATGCTCAGAAGCTCTATATTGAAGACTGGCACGTGCGCCGGAGTTAACGCCAGGGGCCGGTTGTATCAAGCCCGTTTAGCTTAAACGGTGGATAAGTCAAAATTATATAACACTCCTACAACTCTCTTGAATGAGTCAACTTGAATATTATGCTCTGAATATGTAGTTTTAAACAGTATATTTGTATTAACGTTATTTAACGTCAAAAACATTTAGTTCGCTTGTTGAATAAAACGGCAGACTTGCTTTCTATTTTGAACTTAACCACCGTTTAAGCTAAACGGACTTGATACAACCGTCCGCAGAACAGGCGTCTTGTTCTAAAATTAATTATGGGGATATTTAAGACATGTTGTTGACTATTAAATCACTTAGGTAACCTCTTTCTCAGGAGTGTCCTAGGAAAATCTTCCTTTTGTTGTGTAAAATTTACCAAGCAATTGATTGAGGTTCTCCTATATCAAGTCGTTTTAATTGCATTAGACTATCAACTCTTGTGCAAAAGAAAAGGAAATACAGTAAAATATTTCAAAGCTATGATAGATGTTGAAGTCATTAAATATAAATACGAAAGCAAAAAATTTACCGTGTGACAACATTTGCCCATGTCAAAGGTATCTGCCTCCACATTTTTTCTCAATTTTATTTGCCAGGGATAATAGCTCTTGCTGGTTTTCCGCTAAACTCGCAATTGATCGCTTTACGCTTGTCACATCGCTTTGCAACTTCTGTATCTGGTTCGAAATTCCATCCAATTTTGCTGCATCTAAAATAAAAAACAGGACATTAAATGGCTATCTTTAAAACCAGGAACGGGGAATCGAGGAAGGGAACGGGGAAGGGAACGGGGAATGGTAAAACCAGGAATGGGAAAAGCCGGAATCTTTAAAACCAGGAATGGGAAAAGCCGGAATCTTTAAAACAAGGAATGAGAAAAGCCGGAATCTTTAAAACCAGGAATGGGAAAAGCCGGAATCTTTAAAACCAGGAATGAGAAAAGCCGGAATCTTTAAAACCAGGAATGAGAAAAGCCGGAATCTTTAAAACCAGGAATGGGAAAAGCCGGAATCTTTAAAACCAGGAATGAGAAAAGCCGGAATCTTTAAAACCAGGAATGGGAAAAGCCGGAATCTTTAAAACCAAGAATGAGAAAAGCCGGAATCTTTAAAACCAGGAATGAGAAAAGCCGGAATCTTTAAAACCAGGAATGGGAAAAGCCGGATTCTTTAAAACCAAGAATGAGAAAAGCCGGAATCTTACGGCCGGAAGTTTGTAACTAAATTAGCTACAATTTCCGCGCGTAGTACAAAATATGCTAATTTGACATATTTTGCTATATATTATGCTATATTTTCCGTATTTTACCAAATTTCGCAGCCAAACCTAGCATTTCCACTCATTCAAGTACGCTCAATTCTTTTATCTGTTATATGGAACATAAACTGCATTCTTTTGTGGGGGAAGGGATCAAATACATATATAATTATACAAACGATGAAACGAACACAAGGACTGACAGTTAAGGTTAGTTTGTAAACAGTTAAATTTGTTGATTTGGTCTCATTCATATAAACCTACAAAGTGGAGCTTTGCGCGTTGCTATCTACCGTTTAATATCTACATTGCTATTGAAATTGAATAAAGTTTGGTTGGAAATGAAAACTTTTTGGATCCAAATTTGAATTTCCAAATTTTCATATGAATTGCATACTGCATGATATAAAATATGCAAGAACAACTTCATTAAATACACAATATATTTTATCTTTTCTATATTCAGTACATTGTATTTACAGCTACTTAATATATCAGTATAAATCTATGTGAACAACAATTTTTCTCCATTTAATACATACATATTAAGCTTATTTGGCAATATATATTTGTCATAGTTCATGGTAACAGCTTTTCATTATTGAATCAGATTACCCCTGAACAATGCACTACACTTTTGTTGTCCCAAATATAACATAATTTTGCTTTAAGTAAAATTGTATAGAAAATGAAAATATTTTAGTGCATTTTGTACCTTAATTAACTCAGATTATAATTAAACAGTTACCGTGCATTCTCACCCAAGGTTTTAATGACTAGAGGCTGAATAAAAATATACAATAATAATCTGTAAGTAAGTAACAGTTGAAATCAATTAAAATCTTGGCTCTTTGAGAACAACTTTGTGTTGGGATGGAATTTTGGAATATATCCTATGGCTGTTTACGTATACATACTGTAGAGTAGATTTATATTAAGTAGGAGCAAATACAAGGTACTGGTAATATTCCAAAATTTAACAACATATCTCAATTCTTTTATCTGTTATATGGAACATAAACTGAATTATTTTGTGGAGGAAGGATATTGATGGAATATATAATAAATACATATATAATTATGCAAACAACAATTTTGCTGCACTTAATACATTTTTTTGCACTATATAGTCATAGTTCATAGTAAAAGCTTTTCATATATTGAATCATGCTAGCCTAGAAAACGACAGCTAGGTTTTCCCTACACAACTTCTAAAGCATTTTTATTTGAATAAATTATTTGTAAAAGTAAATGCTGGTTGGCTATACTTTTCTAAACAAGACCTAGGATATATTCCAAAATTCCATCCCAACACAAAGTTGTTCTCAAAGAGCCAAGATTTTAATTGATTTCAGCTCTTAGTTACTTACAGATTATTTTCGTATATTTTTAATCAGCCTCCAGTCATTAAAACCTTGGGTGAAAATTGTAACTGTTTAATTATAATCTGAGTTAATTAAGGTACAAAAAGCACTAAAATATTTCCATTTTCTATACAATTTTACTTACAAGCAAAATTATGTTATATTTGGGACAACAAAAGTGTAGTGCATTGTTCAGGGGTAATCTGATTCAATAATGAAAAGCTGTTACCATGAACTATGACAAATATATATTGCAAAATAGGCTTAATATGTATGTATTAAATGGAGAAAAATTGTTGTTCGCATAGATTTATACTGATATATTAAGTAGCTGTAAAAACAATGTACTGAAAATAGAAAAGATAAAATATATTGTGTATTTAATGAAGTTGTTCTTGCATATTTTATATCATGCAGTATGCAATTCATATGAAAATTTGGAAATTCAAATTTGGATCCAAAAAGTTTTCATTTCCAACCAAACATTATATTATTCAATTTCAATAGCAATGTAGATATATTAAACGGTAGATAGCAACGCGCAAAGCTCCACTTTGTAGGTTTATGAATGAGACCAAATCAACAAATTTAACTGTTTACAAACTAACCTTAATTGTCAGTCCTTGTGTTCGTTTCATCGTTTGTATAATTATATATGTATTTGATCCCTTCCCCCACAAAAGAATGCAGTTTATGTTCCATATAACAGATAAAAGAATTGAGCGTACTTGAATGAGTGGAAATGCTAAGTTTGGCTGCGAAATTTGGTAAAATACGGAAAATATAGCATAATATATAGCAAAATATGTCAAATTAGCATATTTTGTATTACGCGCGGAAATTGTAGCTAATTTAGTTACAAACTTCCGGCCGTAAGATTCCGGCTTTTCTCATTCTTGGTTTTAAAGATTCCGGCTTTTCCCATTCCTGGTTTTAAAGATTCCGGCTTTTCCCATTCCTGGTTTTAAAGATTCCGGCTTTTCTCATTCCTGGTTTTAAAGATTCCGGCTTTTCCCATTCCTGGTTTTAAAGATTCCGGCTTTTCTCATTCCTGGTTTTAAAGATTCCGGCTTTTCTCATTCCTGGTTTTAAAGATTCCGGCTTTTCTCATTCCTGGTTTTAAAGATTCCGGCTTTTCTCATTCCTGGTTTTAAAGATTCCGGCTTTTCTCATTCCTTGTTTTAAAGATTCCGGCTTTTCCCATTCCTTGTTTTAAAGATTCCGCCTCTTCTCATTCCTGGTTTTAAAGATTCCGGCTTTTCTCATTCCTGGTTTTAAAGATTCCGGCTTTTCTCATTCCTGGTTTTAAAGATTCCGGCTATTCTCATTCCTGGTTTTAAAGATTCCGGCTTTTCTCATTCCTTGTTTTAAAGATTCCGGCTTTTCCCATTCCTTGTTTTAAAGATTCCGCCTTTTCTCATTCCTGGTTTTAAAGATTCCGGCTTTTCTCATTCCTGGTTTTAAAGATTCCGGCTTTTCTCATTCCTGGTTTTAAAGATTCCGGCTTTTCCCATTCCTGGTTTTATCATTCCCCGTTCCCTTCCCCGTTCCCTTCCTCGATTCCCCGTTCCTGGTTTTAAAGATAGCCGACATTAAATAGCAAAAGTATAAAAAACATGCAAAAACACACAAACACTTGTAACAAAAGATGACAAAATTATATTCGAAGTATATGTGTATTTGAATATAGGTAATAAGTTTGAAGCAAACGCTGAACCACAGAGAAGCGGTAACATTTCTAGGACCGTCATACCAGGACCATTTTGAATTAAAAACTCATCAAAATCCGGAAGGGAAATTGTCTAATTTGCATTTGAACTCCTGTGAAACAAAATACGTTTATTTAAAATATGTTTCATGCAGCAGATCCGGAGTAAGATTATTGCCGAAATTGACTACAATATACAACGTTGCGCTAGTGGTTCAGTGGTAGAATTCTCGCCTGCCACGCGGGAGACTGGGGTTGGATTGCCCGCTAGCGCATGCAATTCCTCTCGGATGCATTGTCCTAATCAATAACCACCATCATGTGGTTTCTTTTTTGCGCTTGCTGTGTCGTACCACATTTCATTGTCAGGTTATGATAAATATGCATAAATATGTTTAATTCTACTCCATTACCAATATATAAATTTGACTTAGGGAAGCAAAATACTTTTCAAAATCTTTTCCATGCAACTGTCCTTCGAACCAGATTTGAACCAGTGACCTAGGGATGTTTTTTTACTTATCTACAGTCCCCCGCTCTACCAACTGAGCTATCGAAGGCTGATAACGGCAAGCATCTTTATTGATGAATCAATATTTGTGATACAATAGTTAATTCTATTAATCAGAATTTTGATAATATTATTAAAAAATTAGGAATAAATATTATTTTTAAAAATTTTACAAAAAACTCTCAACGGAAAGCAACGGTTTTTTGAAGAATGATTTGAGATCCCAGGCGTAAAATTTTGGAGGATGCGGTCGTCGATCGCGCTACCTCACACATGCTAAGCGCTGCTCTACCATTTTGAGCTAAGCCCCCAATTTGCTGCTTTCCTTACATCTTTTCCAGCAATTGTTAAGAGATAGATCACTCTTTACGAAACTAAAAATTCAATTTCTAACTTTAAATCGTGTAGCATGGCACCTAATTTATAGGTGTAAAGCTAATATTATTTTGAAAATGCATCGCATAATAAACTCTTGTAAAACAAAATACGTTGATTCAAAATATGCTTCATACAGCGGATCCGGAGTAAGATTATTGCCGAAATTGACTACAATATGTGGTGTTGCGCTAATGGTTCAGTGGTAGAATTCTCGCCTGCCACGCGGAAGACCGGGGTTCGATTCCCCGCTAGCGCATGCAATTCCTCTCGGATGCACTGTCCTAATCAATAACCACCATCATGTGGTTGCTTTTTTGCGCTTGCTGTGTCGTACCAAAATCATCAGAGGAAACGGCTAATTTTGAGATAAAACGATATTGTTACGTAAGGCATAGAAAGTTCCCATGTGGTCTAGTAGCTAGGATCTGGCGAATTCACCGCCATGGCCCGGTTTCGATTCCCGGCGTGGGAAACGCGCTTTTATAAATGTTGCCGGAAAAAAGAGTTACGGCATTACATTTCACACTTGAATGAGTATTATTCCAGGACACGAACACTGACAAAGACAGGAAGAATCGCCATTCATCGAGTTTGTTAAAAAGAAAATTGATAATTTGAACGAATAAAGTTGTGTCGCATTTTCGAGAATTTAATGTGTTTAATTGATTGAATAGGGAAAAAAATATGGAGGATGCGGGCATCGATCCCGCTACCTCGCGCTTGTAAAGCGCGCGCTCTTCCATTTGAGCAAATCTCCCCCAGCCAACGTATTGCATTAAAATCCATTGTTTCAATGACACATAATTATTTATTTTGTTTTTTTTACATTTGATTACAGAAAAAAACTATTTGCGAAAACCGCAAAATGAAAGCATTTTTTTCAATATTTTGCAGATATACCAAGCTAACCGTCAAAATATTTCAAATTATTTCCTGCTGAAACCCGGAATAGAACCAGGGAACTTCAGATCATCAGTCTGACGCTCTCCCACCTGAGCTCTTTCGGCATACAGCTTAAAACGGTAACCATATTTTTTAGGCGTTTTCGATCATCCACCTAGTCTCCTAGCTGCACACAACAACGGAGCATACTGGGCTTTTCAAAATGTCAGGTTATGATAAATATACATACATATAGTTAATAAACTTCTTCTCCATTGCCAGTATATCGATTTGACATACAGAAGTAAAATAAGTTTCAAAATCTTTTCCATGTAACTGTCCTTCGAACCGGATTTGAACCAGTGACCTAGGGATGTTTGTTTACTTATCTACAGTCCCCCGCTCTACCAACTGAGCTATCGAAGGCAGCAGGTAACGGCCATTTTCTTTATTGATCAATCAATATTTGTCATACAATAGTTAATACCATTATTCAGCATTTTGATAATATTATTAAAAACTTAGGTTTAAATATTAATTTTAGAATTTTTACGGAAAACTTTCAACGGAAAGCAAAGGTTTTCTGAAGAATAATGATTTGAGTTCCAAAGCGTAAAATTTTAGAGGATGCGGGCGTCGATCCCGCTACCTCGCCATGCTAAGCGCGCGCTCTACCATTTGAGCTAATCCCCCAATTGCTGCTTTCCTTACATCTTTTCCAACAATTGTTAAAAAATAGATCACTCTTTACGAAAGTAAAAATTGAATTTCTAACTTTGATTCGTGTAGCATGGCACCTAATTGATAGGTGTAAAGCTATATAATATTTTCTTGAACATTCATCGCATGATGAAATCCTGTAAAACAAAATACGTTGATTCAAAATATGTTTCATACAGCGGATCCGGAATAAGGTTATTGCCAAAATTGACTACAAGATGTGGCGTTGCGCATATGTGGTGGTTCAGTGGTAGAATTCTCGCCTGCCACGCGGGAGACCAGGGTTCGATTCCCCGCTAGCGAATGCAATTCCCCTCGGATGCATTGTCCTAATCAATAACCACCATCATGTGGGTTTTTTTCGCGCTTGTTGTGTCGTACCAAAATCATCAGAAGAAACAGGTAATTTTGAAATAAAACGACATTGTATGTATGTATGTATGTAAAACTTCATTTATTGACGCTACCCTTGTCAACAGCAATTGTTGATTTCCACAAGGGGCGTCATAACTATGAAAAAAGTACAATTACAAATAAAGAAGAAAGAGATAAGATAAAAGCATAGCTATATACAAGAGATTAAGTTGCAGTGACCCGGTGGCATAAAAGACCCACAATTGATTTTATCTACCTATTAAGTTGTGCTACAAAATATTTGAAAGAGTATATTGATTGCGCTTCCTTAGCTTCACGCGGAAGATCATTCCAAAGTTTAGCACCACTGGACTTAAAACTTTTTTTAAGAAATTCGCGTCTCGGTTTAGGAAGGGCCTGATCAGTGTAAGAATTTCTGAGGTGAAAACCACTAACGCTTATTTCATCATCCGAAACCGACTCGTTAATTTTAGTTTCATTGATCGCTAAGATATCTAAAGAATTATTTGACATTATTACACGAATTTCATCAATGTGCTTTGAGAGGCTATTGATATTTAGGCATGCAATTTTTAACCCTTTCAAATTATTTATGTCAGAGAGGGAGAATTGATAATTATTATCATCACTACCTATCTCAGATAGGTCACAACAAGGTTCAGTCAGGACCTCCTTGAACGGTTGATGGATCTTTGGGGACTCAGCATCATACTCAGAATGTCCTCCAGAAAGCTCAGCCGTTCTGTATTGTTGAGAAAATCCTGATTGTGTCTTTGTTTTGGGCTAGTGGTGGTATTATATATAGGGAGTATTTCCTCGTAAAAATTTCATAAAATTGGCAGCTAAGTATGCCGAACCTTTGGCATTTAAATGTAACAGACCACCATTTAGGCATGAACTGTCCAGGTTCCGGTTATCAATAAAGTTAAACTCGTTCTTTGTGCAGAATTCTTGAAGCCCGTCGTTGACTTTCGCGACCTGCTCTTCTAAATTTAGGTCACGCCTTAACGTTATACTAGAAAGACCAATTGTATAATTAGGAAACTTCTTATGAACATTTATCGCTAGGCTTTCAGCTTTCTATCTTCTTGATACAAGCACTTGGATTATCATCAACTGGCAGGTTATTCGTGCCAGCATGTAAAATAATAAGTGAAGGATCGGACTTGATATTTTTCACTTCCACGGTAATCTCCTCAGCAGTCTTTCCAGAGAAAGTACGTTTATTGACTTTCCTCCAAAATAGTTTCCTGGGATGTATGTTTTTTATTATCGAGTCACCGATCAACAAGATGGATCCATCACCTTTAACGCCACTCTTTGGCCTACTGGACTCTGGGGAAATCAACGATTCATTGCCTAATGTTTGGGATAATTGACCGGCTTCGTTAGGATGAGTAATCGGACCAGTTAACAACCCAGAGCTATCGTTATTAGCACCACTCGTGGTCTTATTGGGCTCCAGTGTAATCAACGATTCATGAGGTTCGCTGGGGTCATTAATCGCTTCGTGAACTTTGCTTTTGGAAGCCTAAAGTATTTCAATGACGGGACCATGTTAACAAGCTTGAATATTACCGACTTTATATTGTTGAATACTGTCTATCTCCTTTCGAAAGTGTGAAATAATTTCAGCAAGGTTTTCGACAGAGTGTGACAGCGATTGGATTGAAAATCTGTTGAGCTCTTGGCCAGATCGAAGATTATCAATATGAGAATAAACATCCTTGTCTTTAATAGTTGACTGCAGAATGGCCGGTTCCGTTTGGTTGAACCCGTCTATGCTTGTATTTTGAGGACTTGTATTCTCGTAGATTTTTATAAACAGAGTAGCTTCGTGTATTTAACCAACTCATCCCCTGCTATATGTAGCAAATTCTTGTTCTTACGCCAGGAGATAGAGATATCAGGGGCAGAGAATATCTTTTTGTCGCCGCCAGGTTGCTCCCAGACACCATCAAGCTTTAGATCGTCGCTAACAAATTTCTTTAAACAATCATAATCACCTTGCCATGCAAAGCATAAGTTATAGCTTAGAAATTCCATTTATAACTGATCAAATTGAAACTGTACAGTCGCTTAAAGATATTATATGTTATTGGATTAAATAACGGAGCTAGAGAATACACGTCCATACAAGGCCAGGCCTTTTTTTTCTTTTTGGCGTAAAGCATAGCACGTTCGTAAGGCATAGCAGGTTCGCAAGGCATAGCAGGTACGTAAGGCATAGCAGGTTCCCATGTGGTCACGAAGACTGACAAGGATTGGAAGAATCGTCGTTCATCGAGTTTGTAAAAAGAAAATTGATATTTTGAACGAATAAAGTTGACTGTGTCGCATGTTCGAGAATTTAATGTATGTTTAATTGATTGAATAGGGAAAAATATGGAGGATGCGGGCATCGATCCCGCTACCTCGCACATGCAAAGCGCGCGCTCTTCCATTTGAGCTAATCCCCCAGAGCCACAACCACCGTAACGCATTGTTTCAATGACAAATAATTATCTATTTTGAGTTTTTTACATTTGATTACCGAAACAAACTATTTGCGAAAACCGCAAAATGAAAGCATTTTTTTAAAAATTTTGCAGACATACCAAGCTAACCGGCAAAATATTTCAAATTATTTCCTGCCGAAACCCGGAATTGAACCAGGGACCTTCAGATCTTCAGTCTGATGCTCTCCCACCTGAGCTATTTTGGCATACAGCTCAAAACTTTGGAGGATGCAGGCGTCGATCCCGCTACCTCGCGCAAGCTAAGCGCGCGCTTTACCATTTGAGCTAATCCCCCAATTGCTGCCTTTCCTTACATCTTTTCCAACAATTGTTAAAATATAGATCACTCTCTACCAAATTAAAAATTGATTTTCTAAGTTTGATTCGTGTAGCATTGCACTTAATTTATAGCTGTAATGCCAACATTTTCTTGAACATGCATCGCATAATGAACTTCTGTAAAACAAATTGCGTCGATTCAAAATGTGTTTCATATAGCGGATCTGGAGTAAGATTGTTGCCGAAATTGACTACAATATGTGGCGTTGCGCTGGTGATTCAGTTGTAAAATTCTCGCCTGCCACGTGGGAGACCGGGGTTCGATTCCCCGCTAGCGCATGCAATTTCTCTCGGATGCACTGTCCTAATCAATAACACCCATCCTGTGGTTTCTTTTTCGCGCTTGCTGTGTCGTACCAAAATCATCAGAAGAAACGAGTAATTTCGAAATAAAACGATATTGTTACGTAAGGCATAGGAAGTTCCCATGTGGTCTAGTGGCTAAGATCTGGCGTTTTCACCGCCATGGCCCGGGTTCGATTCCCGGCGTGGGAAACCCGTTTTTATAATTATGGCCCGCTAAAAGAGATTACGGCAATACATTTAACACCTGAATTATTATTATTCCAGGACAAGAAGACTGACAAGGATAGGATGATTCACGTTTCATGGAGTTTGTTAAAAAGAATTTGATTTGAACGAATAAAGTTTAGTTGCGTTTTCGAGAATTTAATGTGTTTTTAATTGATTTATTGAAAACTGAAGTATAAATACTATTTTTAAAAATATTACGAAAAACTTTTAACGCAAAGCAACGGTTTTCTGAAGAATGATTTGAGATCCAAAGCGTAAAATTTTGGAGGATGCGGGCGTCGACCCCGCTACCTCGCCATGCTAAGCGCGCGCTCTACCATTTGAGCTAATCCCCCAATTGCTGCCTTTCCTTAAATCTTTTCCAACAATTGTTACAAGATAGATCACTCTTTACGAAATTAAAAATTGAATTTCTAATTTTGATTCGTGTAGCATGCCACTTAATTTATAGCTGTAATGCCAACATTTTCTTAAACATGCATCGCATAATGAACTCCGGTAAAACAAAATACGTCGATTCAAAATGTGTTTCATACACCGGAACCGGAGTAAGCTTGTTCCCATGTCGTCTAGTGGCTAGGATCTGGCGTTTTCACCGCCATGGCCCGGGTTCGATTCCCGGCGTGGGAAACCCGTTTTTATAATTATGGCCCGCAAAAAGAGATTACGGCAATACATTTAACACCTGAATGAGTATTATTCCAGGACACGAAGACTGACAAGGATAGGAAGAATTGCGTTTCATCGAGTTTGTTAAAAAAAATTTGATATTTTGAACGAATAAAGTTGAGTTGCGTTTTCGAGAATTTAATGTTTTTTTAATTGATTGAATAGGAAAAAAATATGGAGGATGCGGGCATCGATCCCGCTACCTCGCGCATGCAAAGTGCGCGCTCTTCCATTTGAGCTAATCCCCCATAGCCGCCGAAGCGCATTGAAATCTATTGTTACAATTACACATATCTATTTTGGTTTTTTTACATTTGATTACCCAAACAAACTGTTTGAGAAAACCGCAAAATGAAAGCATTATTTTCAATATTTTGCAGACATACCAAGCTAACCGGCAAAATATTTCAAATTATTTCCTGCCGAAACCGGGGATTGAGCCAGGGACCTTCAGATCTTCAGTCTGACGCTCTCCCACCTGAGCTATTTCGGCATACAGCTCAAAACGAGGATTCATATTCTTCAGGCGTTTTCGATCATCTACCTAGTTCTTATTCTACTTAAATTCACAAATTTTGCAGGGCTATACATTTAGCACCATTAAGAATTCGGAAATTTAATACCAAATAACATTAAATTGGTTTCTTACCGCATTTTCGACATTTAATCCTGTGTCGTTGGAATTGCAGAAGGTTCGCATAACCGTTAACGGATACCAAGGCTTGATATACTTTTGGCAATGCAAGTATTTAGGAAGTTAATAATTTTTATCAGAAAAATGTAAATATTTAGAAAAGACGAAACGTCTTTATTAAAAACAGCAGAGATAAAATAATATGACGAAATTGAAATACTTCTTTGACAAATTCAAATTTTGCGCGCTTATTACTAATCATGTTTCGCAAAAGTGTCAAATAAGTAAAAAGAGGAAGTAAAGTAACGTTTTCACACTCAATCCAGTTGTTGTCTTTCTACTCTCAATCCAGTCACTCTCAGTTGTGATATATCTGGTTAATGAAATTGCTTAGTGCATACTGATCCAGACGTTAAATGCATGGTTCAGTAAGTAACATATATAGTTCAGTATTTATTGGGTCAATTAATTATCATGATTTTGTGGCTAAAATAAGCATGGCTACGTGCTTAGTAACCAAGCCTTAAAGTGCCTATATCACTCCTGGGATCTTTATGCATTTGAAAAGAACGTAAAAAGTTAGTTGATACATTATAAAGTTTTTTGAATAATTTCGAATATACAAGCCTCTAAACTATCTGCGTTTCCTGAGTCCCAACCTCCTAGGTTTAAACACGGCTATTTAATCTGAAACTGCCAATTGTTTACAGGAGCCTGGGACTCAGGAACTGCAGGTAGTTTAAAGGCTAGTATCTTCAAAAATGTTGCACTTAATCAAAAAAAAATTTTAATATATTAACTAATATTTTACATTCTTTTCAAATGCATAAAGATTCCACGAGTGATATAGGCAACTTAAAGTGTTCCAAAAACATGTTCTGTAATCGGCATCGCGTTTGTAGGTCACACGAACCTCTGTTCCTGCTACTACGTTCATCTTAACAAGAAGCGACTAGTCCTTGTAGAATTTTTTAAACATTTCATGATTAAAAGAAAAACTGAAAGAACATAGAATCAGGATAGTTTAAATTTTTCATTCAAATGACAATGACACAGCTTTGCTTTGCAGACTTTGTTCTTCACACTTCTCGAGTTAGTATGTCTCTTCCGACTATATTGCTTTCATACTCACAATAGAAATCCAACAAATAACAATGATAATATCTTCTTTTTTGCAGCGCCGTTCGAACACAACAATTATGACTTAAAACAACTAACAACTTATAATAAATTAAGATACTCTAATCTCTAAATTCTTAAAAAGTTTAATATAGTACATCATGCAGCGACTCAACATACGTTAAATTTAATTACAGTATATGACGTAATGTCTTTGGTCGTGACTGATCTCACGTCACACTTCTCGGTTTTAAAATTTAAATCTCACTCACAACACCAAACATGCAAGAGCAAAGTGTCTTCTTGAAGGGTGATCTGATGATTAGACTGGAACCTTTGGCGTCGATGGCGTCACTTGACAACAAGATGTGAATATTCTTTAGGTAAATAACTTCTGTCATCCCTATCTATATAGATCACAAGAACCTACATTGATATGCCATGCTTCTAAACCGCAAGGCCTTTCTCCATAACGATCCATAGTGGGTCGTGAATGTAATCTTAGTGTGGTTATTACACTCATTTATAGTTAAACCAGAGCAGTGATAAATGTGATTAATTATATACCTGTTGCTGTGAAACAATAAACTTCAATTAATTTTGTTATAATGGTTGAATAAAGCGTTCCAAAGACACTTCATGTACCAGGCAACTCAGAAGAAAATGCACATTGTGAGTGAGAATTTAATATAAGCTTAACTTAACTACTCAATACCATGCAGTCTTTTGTGTCAATTACTCAAATTCATATAAAGAAAAGAGATACAAAAAAACACTTTAACAATTTATTTTTGATTAAAATTACCAACAAAACTGCATGCAAAACTATAATTAAACAACAAAAAAGTTCATCTTCATCTCGTTTTCTTTAGTGTTTGTTTACGCTTCTGAAAAAATTGAAAAAAGAAAAATTAGAAGTGAGATCATTTTGGGACAATAATCGTTATACTAACTTTACTTTGATTTGAAGAATTTTAGGAGAATTGAACAATCATTCTTGCTATAACGTTTTAAATAGTACATAGGACTTATAACGTACTTTTTCACGGCCGATTATAATCTATGACCATTTCATTCCAACCAGCACAATCATTAAGACCAGCCAAATTTGGATTCCACACACTTAAACACTGATCATATTCCACTGATTTAATGTGACCATCGCCGGAAATTTGCCACTGTAGTGAGTTTTCAGAACATGGTTTGAGAACAACTTGTTTGTTGGTTGAGGTTTTAACATCAAAGCAGTTCCCACTTCTTAAATCTTTTATGAATTTTCTTTTAAGAATTCTAAAATAACTTGGAGGAAGTTTTACCCACGAGAACCTCAAGGAATTTCCGAAGCTGTGCAGATAACCATATTGCTTGTCTGTTACCGTGAACTTTACTCTTCCTAAAAGGGAATTTCATATTGAGAAAAATTCTGTCAAATGCAAAGCACTTCGCACAGGGTTTTTTATTTGAATAGATTTAAAAACCCCGTGGATTAAGTCCTTAATTCACTTTTTTGGGAGACCACAATTTTGTGGCAATCACCTGTCTTTACTGTGAAAAAATTTAAAGTCCAAAACTTACAATACTGAAATAGATGTTGAGATAACGTAATAGAGTTTGATGTAATTTAATCCTTACGGGATTGACTAAATTCGGCCGCACTCAGGAGAACGAAAACCAGGAAGAGAGCAAAGTTTAAAGAAGCCATATTGGCGATATTCAACTTTCCTTTTCAGCTGTTACTCTGAAAGAAATTTTAACACACAAATCAATAACAAACTCACGTTACCTAATCCCCATTCAACGTTAAGTGTGTAAAAATTTTCCAAATGATTTGTAATATATAGAGCTGAAAGTACATTTTTAAAGTTGACAAGGACCTCGTATACTACCATTTCTACTAGCGATAATTTTCAGCAAAGACAAACGTAATTCTGCATACATTAAACAATCACTTCGGCTCGTATGCACAATTTTTGCATTACCTGTACTTCTGCGGCATAACGCAGACAGTTTATAAACTCTCGCATCTCAAGTAAACGTGTTTTTGCTGCAAACCGTAACTGAGAACGTCACAAAATCATCACAAACAAAGATTAAACGTCAAATGCTATCTTTCGAATATTGTATATTGAGTGATTTCAGTCGACTCTAAAAGTTTTGTAATTACATACTCTATCTTTAGTGTATTAAAATTCAAATTACGCTTTCAAAAACATTTTTAAACCGATAAACCGATGTTTATCGGGTTAAAACTATATCCATGTTGAATTGTTATCACGTTTCATTTTGCACGACGTGCATTACGGCTAGCTACGCTGCCCTTGGC